TTGACTTCAACCGGGCACACTCTTCAACCATCTAAGGCTCTATGCGGCTGGTCTCCATACTGGAAGACCTATAAAGAGCAAAATGGTGAGTTTTTAAGGCAAGCTGTTCCCCATCCGATAGAAACTTAGGTGTTGAGCTTTTTCTGCTGATGTCTTTGTTTGAATATATTGCGTATGAGCTAGACCTTTACAGGCTTTGAAGGAAGCGAAATTGTCGAAACCTTAGCTAATTTTGAAGAAAACTTTTGTAACCTCGTCTCTGCTCTATAAGAGGACACAAATTTATTGATCATTGGCGAAGCTGACAGAAAGTCGGTCCTGGGAGCTTGCGCCACAGTTACCGTTCTGTTTGTACCATCTCTAATCACTTAAGAAGTGTCTCGCTCTAACTGTATATTCCGTCCATTCTTGAAGAACGAGCATTTTTCCATGGCCTCAACTTCATGGTTTGGCTCGTTGTTGTTTGCCTGCGATATTTTACTATGTACATATATACCTCAGTGTAGTATGTGCACGAAACTGCTTGGGTAATATGTCGGCACGTATCTACGCAGAGTAGAAAAAAAGCTTCAGAAGAATTTCACAAGAGCTTAGAGTCATAGATGTTAACGCGGTTGTGTTTGTTAGTTTAGCGCTAGCCTCCTTAAAAGGAATGGAGGTAGCGTAAGCTGCGTAATTCTTGCATCAAGTTGTTCTCTATGTCTTTTGAACGTTTTAAGGTGTGCGCGGAATTATAGGACATTGCTGTGATATTCTTTGTAGCTTTATAATTTTCGCTGCTGCATTTATCCTGTTGTGTTAAGCTTCGCATTACGTCTTGGAAAGAAACAAGCAAAATGACGATATCATAGAAATTTTTCTAAGTTTATACATTCTTTCTTTTTGCTCCTTTCTTATAGCTTTCCTTTTCATTCATTATCGACTGCGATGCGGACAGATCAACTCAACTGGTCGTCGAGTACAAAATAATGCGGCGTTCGTTTCGACGCTGTAGAAGGGTTTCTACTATTTTCAGGGACTGCCGTCATCACCGTTGCAATGGTTAATATATGCTTCCGTCGTTTTCTCTCTCAGCAGTTGCGAGGTTGTTAAACAGCATACGTTTACTTCAATTACTTGTGTATAAGTAAACGTATGCTGTTTAACAACTTCGCGATTGCTAAAAGAGAAAACGACGAATTCATAGTTTTATGCCGAGGTTAAAAGAAAGTCGATCCCAGTTAATATATGCTTCATTAAACGCAATTCCTTATAGGACCCTACTTTCTCAAGCAGCTGGACTTTATCCAAAATTTTTGGCGTAATGTTGGTACAGTTTATATTTTCCAACTCCGATTGAATTTGTTTTACCTCAGGGTTTAAATTTTAAAATCAGAGGTGCATTTCCCTTTTCTACAACGAAGACGTCGAACCGTCTATGGAGGCGTAAACGCGCAAAGTTTGGCTAGAGCTCTGTTTGTTTATAAATTATACTGGCAGATGATTTGTATATGATTTTGGCTACATTTTGACATCCTATCGTTTTCATTCCTTACTGTTTAAATGTTGGTTGGGCATGGTTTTCCCGGCAATCTTGAAAGTGCCATGCTGTGTTTTTCAACAATGACAGTGGCCTTGACTTGTGGTTAGAAGGTAGTTCCTTACTTTGTTGCTGCGATTCGTTTACGACAGCTGTAACTCCTGGAATTAATGATCAACCGATCAACGTTGTCATAAAATGCGAAATCCCAGTTTATCTACATTCAGAAAAAAGAACCTTGGGAATAGTTCTCGATATTCTTGTTGAGTAAGCACGAGGTGCTACTTTATTCTTTATTCCGTTAAAGCTAGCATTTCGGCGGATTTCGCCTTCTTCAGAGCCTGGAAGTGTATATTGATAGACAGTTTACTAATTCACACACTCCGATAACACATACAGAAAGATGAAAATCTAAATCGCAGTCACACGATCAACAGCTTCTCGAAAAAAACCCACCGTTTATTACGTGTCTTCCACTGAGGAAGAACAGCTGATCAAAGTCGCATATGGTCGATGGTCGATGAATGCACCACTTCACATCAAAAGTCGATACAAAGGTATCGGGCCAGATCACGTGTGATCTTTGGGTAATCGTCCCTATTGTTCATTCTAGGGTTCCTGGTATTTATCCAAAAAGCCTATAGAAGTTTCCGCTTTGGTGTTTTGGCATCCTGTGCGAGAATAGTGACTTTAACATCAAAATCAATGTTGAACATGAAGCAGGAATAAATATGCATCACTTGTCCATTCAGCAGCTCATGGTTCTCTTAAAAGAGTGTCTTAACTGCTCGATTTTCACATGGTCTGGGAAATATTACGCGCTAGAATAGAATCTGTTGTAATGGAGAGGAAGCTGGTTATCCTGACTTCTTGAAATTCCTAATGCTGTAATGTTCAGAAGTGTGGAGAGGTTGCTGATATCAACTGTGTAATGGCTTTATCGACTCAAATCAAGCAAGACTCACCGGTTTGATGTTGTTGTCCTGGTCAATGCGGATACATCAATTTGTTTAAACCCTTATCAACCCGAATTACACATCTTTTTCGAAGAAGAAACCCGAATTATCTGTGGCTTTCGTCACTTTTCTCACACCGAAACCTTTTTTAGAGTAGAAATCTTCTATCTACAACGTGTTATTGGTAATTTAACTATTATATCGACAAAAATTCTAAGAAATTGAAGAAAAAACAAAATTTAAGAGTCTGTATACATACCTGTTTAGGTGTATATATATATACACATGTATATATATATATATATATATATATATATATATATATACATGAGCTTGTGTAGCGGAGTGGTTATAGGTGCCTTGAAATATGCACTGGATTGGTCTTCAGTTCGACCACCGCTCGGGATAATCAAACCTTTTGTCCCACCGAAGTCGAAAAATTGTCAGAATTTCCGGAAGGATAAAAACGCTGATCTGATACATCGGTAGACCACCAAAAGTATTTTATAGGCCGGATATGCATTCCGTCAGTGCTGCGGTGATTGATGAAGTAGGATGCATGGCATATCTTTCAGGGATCTGCGCTCACCGATTTATTCGGTTTTTATATGTATGAATGTATTAGCATGGTTCTAATTGTATGCTGCTATTCATCATTTCAAAAAAAGTAGCAGCAGCAGACGGCATTCAATATCATGATTAGAAAGCCTTTTAATAGTTTATTGGTTTAGTCCAAAACAAGAGAAAGGCTTGTAAAACTGTAGCCTTTACTTTTATTTTTCCAGATGATTCCCGTAGTCCCACTCAACATCTCAAGCAAAGTGGATATCTGCCCTCGTATGAGTTTCAGATATCTGAAGAATAAATAGTCCATCAATTTTACTCGTTACACTGGCTCGTCTTTACAAATGTCATCCCCAGAATTTCGAAAGGTGTTAAAATGCGGAATGTGGATGATAATAATGTACGGGTTGTGCCACCCACAGGGTACCACGTCATTTAGTTTCTTTCGATCATTTATAGGTTGTTTACTTGATTCCTAATTAAGGTCTAATAATACCGTTGATAACTGCTGGAAACAAGGAGGCAATTCATATATGATGAGAGTACCTTACTCGAAGACCTTTCTGGAATATCGAGGTTTTACGAGACTACGAGCTGCTGGGTATTTTGATCACCTTGAGTCTCAATCGTATTTCTGCTGTTCCAATGAATTTCTAAAGCAGATGAGAATTTTAAAATCAGATATGAATGCGGCGAGCCATTGGTATTCAGTATCAATTGGTGAAGGTAATTGCACAAGACGGCGATGCGTCTGTTGAATTAAGCCTTGTGTCCATGATCTTCATGGTATTTTTAAAAAGAAAAAATAGTACCACATGTGATATTAAGATGATTTTCGTTGTGCAGGCTTTAAAAAATATCTGTGTTGCTGTTACAAGTGAGCATATATCTATTTCAACATTACGTCTTTTAAACGAGAATTGAGGAGTCGACATAAAATGAGCTGATGAACAAGAAAGACTATGTGCCTGGTACACTATCAGTTTGTGACGGGTTGTATTGCAGCTGGATACGGTTGTTGGAAGAGAAAAGAAACAATGTGATTTCGGGCTGGCATCATGCGCTAGACATCTCCATAAACGTCGGTTATCGAACAATTGTTACGAAGGAACTTACACGCAATCTGAAGATCGGTGTTCCATGTACCCTTATATCGGAGATTATGAACTTAAAGCTTATGCGACAACGTGATCTCTCTAGGAGTGACATTGTGAGGAAATAATGCCTGTCTTCAGCTTTGAACCGATATATTTCAACTCATTATGAACTCTACTACTTTTATTAGTAACTGTTAGAATCTATGGATCTTTACCCACAGAACAAGAGTTCTACTATTTTTTTAAGGGAAAACTCTGATATTCTGGAGCCTATGAAACATGTTTTGTGTACTTTTCTGCCACAAGGCATGTATTTCAAAAATGAATGCAAATTAGTAAGCTGTATTTCACCTTGAACGACGGGATTGTGTTCTCTAACATTTGGCTGTTGCTTGCTGATACTGCGCACGGGTGGAAAGTTTCAAAAATTGAAATCCTCTTTGCAATTTTTGGTGCTAAACAAATTCAAAACTGAAAAGATATCTCGCAAAGACTGTATAAGCGCTTAGGGCGAAAGAGTCACTTCTGTTCTACAGGTCTTCTATTTTTCAATTCCTTCATTTCTTTATTAATGGGGAGATTGCTTTTATCCTTAAAAACCAACATAGTCACGAAGGAGATGCATATGGACAATGTGTGCATCTTTGGTGCCAAGTTTTACTCACAGTTCAGGTTCGGTTTCCTCACCTCATTTATGATCCAAGTCAGCTGTTTTCATTTGATCCGCTAAGAAAAGGCGTTTGAATAGATTAAACCAACGTCGTTAGAGTTAAGCAGTAACGGAACCTTCCGGCAAGTTCCGGACGTCGTTGACACATTAATGAGTCATCAATTATGGGGTTATTTTGAACCCTGCATTTTGTTTTGGTGGCAGAAATACTACCGTTTTTCAAGAGCAAAGCACTTGTTTTTCCTTTATCACGTTCCTTTATATTTTTTGAATGCATAATAACTTCAGAGTAAATCATAGCGTGACACCTTCAGGCTGCGTTTCTCATTCCCATGATAATTGTCTCGACGAGAAAATTCGCTGCTCTCAATACACTGGGAAGTGTGTTGTTATTGCTGAGGTGAGCATGTTCATTCTTTCCATTCACTGGCCTCTTGATTTAGGGATCAATGACTATGGATCGCTATTGAATTAGTTAGTAGTGATAAGGTGCAATTCGCGTTGAGGCAAGTTGGACATACATCTTTATCAAGATGGGAGATGAAAATTGGACAGGTGAATGAAATGGAAAAAAATGAAATGGTGAAATCAAACAATTACGGCATAATGAATAAAACGTGCGGCTTTGATCAATATTTGGATGGTGCGCCATTCATTTGACGTCATTAAGTATCGTTGGAGGTGATTTAATGCATATCTGGCCATTATAATGACTCGCGGTGGCCTACCGATCTACCGAGTCAGTGTTGCTATGCTCCCGGACAGACCTGGTACCATTTTGCCGACTCCTGACGGATGGAGGGGTTAGTAAACCTAGTGCTCAGTATCGAACTTATGTGTATTGCAGGGCACCCCTAACCACTGCGCTATAGGCGCCCTCTCGAGTAATTTATTGAATGATCTATTTGCAAGTAGATATAAAAGAAAAAGCTTTTTGGCAACAAATAATCATCTCTTGCATTGATGTATATGTCTGTGTTTTCTTGAAATGAGTTTTGTTCAAACAGATGGAAGAGGACTTGATCGAACCACATTTTTGGCTGTGATTTAGAAAGTTGAAGAATCAGCTTTTTGGTGTGGGCTTCAGAAATTTCTGCTTTGGTCGTCGTTTAAACAAGACGTTTATTTATAACTAAATTAGCTTTTCTTCGTATTTTTGTTGAGCAAACGCGAGGTGTTACTATTCTTTGTTCACGATTAAGCTGACGTTTCGGCGGATTTCGCCTTCTTCAGAGCCTGGAAAGGTCAAGTTGATAGCAACTCACTCGGCCAGACGCCTCCATAACCAAACAAAGAAACTCCAAACCAAGATTTCAATCACTTTGAATACAGCTTCGCACACTCACCTCTTTCTATGAGGTTTCCACTAAATATGTCACGTAGAGACAAACCGCACAGCAATCACATGGAAGCATAATGTGCCCCACTCATCAGAATAGCAGTCTTATATACTGCCCTATATCACGCGTGATAAAACTGCTTTTCTGATGTGAGGGGCACATTATACTTACACGTGATTTCTGTGCGGTTGGTCTCTACGTGACATACTTAGTGGAAACCTCATAGAAAGCGGTGAGTGTGCAAAGCTGTGTTCAAAGTGATTGAAATCTTGGTTTGGGGTTTCTTTGTTTGGTTATGGAGGCGTCTGGCCGAGTGAGTTGCTATTAACTTGACCTTTCCAGGCTCTGAAGAAGGCGAAATCCGCCGAAACGTCAGCTTAATCGTGAACAAAGAATAGTAACACCTCGCCTTTGCTCAACAAAAATACGAAGAAAATCACTTGATCAATGCCGAGGTTAATAGAAAGTCGGTCGTGGCAGTTAAATTAGCTTTGTCTATAAAGTGGGAATGGTATGGATGTAATATTATATTCACGACATCTATCTCGTCCAGTTGTGTTCCATTCGTGATGGAGGCGAAGTTCACCGGTCTTACACTCGAGAAAAGAGGCAATCTTGAAATATATGACGGTGCGATGCCATAACTTGGCGGTTCATGAGTTGCACAAGAAATAGAGAGTAGATTGGTACATGAAGATATATTATCCCGAATACATGTAAAATATTTGAGGAGGTTGATCATTGTTGAAATATTTTCAGTTTCGCTTTTCTCTGGGGACCGTCAGCGTATCTGCAACACTTAGTATCTAAGCAGAGACGATTGGTCACAGTGTGCTACATGTCCTCCCTATTTGCCACACTCTACTCTTCGCTTTGGGTTCGTTTATAATCTGAAGCAGGCACATTGTTATTTCTATGCATTCATTCAGCATATACCTCAAGCTAAGTCGTCTATGTAAACAACTGTGCTCTTCTTTAATCAAAAGCTCGTTAGTATTTTGGTGAGAAATGCAGTTTTTCAAATGTTCCTTGGAATGTTACACTTCTGCCCTTTTTTTCGAAAAAAGTCAAAGTTGGGTGGAGCGAGATGTGAAAAAAGAAAATTACGACCAGAGAACTTTTCATGACAACTTGTTTCTTCATGCAGATTTCAGTTCCTGTCGAAAGGTGGTTGGGTGGATATAGGGCTGCGAATGGTTTACAGAAAATAGTACTAAGTCTAATGAACAGAAAAGGCGTTTTTCACTGTGGTGTAAATCTAGAGCTCAATTTTTGAGGAAATTTTTTTGTGAAGAAAAATAATCCTTTTAAACTATATCCGGTTTATGTTCACACATTTACTAAAGCTATTTCAAGTCGCCAATTTCTCTTTACTGCCTAATAATTTATAATGGCTGGGTATTATGTGATATAAACATAATGTTGCTGAGATATTTGCAAAATTCCGGTTCGCTGGTGTCTGCGGTGGGGACCGAACACGCTATTATCCTTACCGGGGACTAGCGCGTTCACCATCACACCATGCGAGATCTTCGTTTCGCTTGTCTCTCAGCCGTGTTATTGACCTAAAGGCGCTATCAGCAATCACCCATCAACGGCATTGCTACTTCAAGTGTTCATAATTTTCTTTTGGGGCGTTTTTAAATACGTCTCTGGGACCATGTTGCTCAAAATTACTTCCTTTCGACTTTGTACACGCCGTTTATTTTCTTTAATACATATCTGACAAAATCAAAGCAATACAACTTGTATACGAACAAGAGTATATGCAAAAACCCGCGATTTAAGTTGAAATCTTTGAATTAGAAGTGGGGAAGCCAAAGCTGAGATTCCGTGGACTGCACTCATTAGCGATGGAATTCGTTCCATGGCGCGATCGAATTCGTTTCATGGCATCGTCATCATTTTCACGAATTCCTCATAGTCAATCTAAACCAACATAATTGGTCATGAACACCAGAGAGAGTACACCTTATTCTTAGCTGGCTTCTAAATGGAAATTTTCGGCAGAGTCACAAAAATCGACATTTCCTTCTGCAAGCATAGGTAAAAATAAGCTACACCGGGAGTTGCTGTTAGTCTGGAAGAAGTCTGGGGCGTTATATGTTTCAAACACATAGAAACGCCATAGAGCAATAATCTAGGGACATCACCGAAAGCAAGAAAAAAAGGTTCAACCAGCAAAACACTAACAAATAAGAATTGTGGTGTCAAGCGCAGTTTGAAGAGAAGGCTATCAACTATATCAAGTATCAAATATTAGCACGGGCATCTCGGTTGTTGTAATTTTAAATTGCAATAGGACGTTACAAAAATAAATATAAATAAATGAAAATAAATAAGGAGTTGCACTACTTTGATTCTCAATGACTGCATAAGCGTATTCAGTAACTATGGCTGACTAGGTTTTTAATGGGTAGACCAAGTACTATCACAATGATGTAGTTACCTAGTTATTTTTTATTTCGTATTTCTTATATGAACAGTTTTGACGTCTACCGTGCGGATCTCAGCAGTTCTCACATTCGATTCGTTTTCCTCGCATTCAAGGTTCACGAAGGTCTTTCAAGTTCTTTTTTACGTGTGGTTTCGACTACTGCTTGAGGAATTTCATTTCATCTATCTAGTTATACAATGAATAAAATGAAGTTCACGGGAACGTGTTTACTACGTGCAGGTGCCTGGCTTAGGAGTATTTCTTAATACTGGATTACTTTTGTCTCGGTTCCATATAGAGTGGAATGATTCTCATTTAACGCCGCCATTATCGACGTTTTAAAACAACAGCTTCAATTGCGGGGTAATTTCAATCGACAGGGCAATGAGCGAATTCCCCAGAGGAGTGGTACGCTTTCAGCATAGTTGTTTTACTATTTCAAAGAAGCCTTTTCTGAATTGATTAATGCCATGAAAAGACTGATTTCGCCATGCGGAATTTCTTTAGTAGGAGCCGTAATTGTGGTTACTTTTTTCTATAATACTAACTTTCCACAAGAGTTATCACTTTCCTAAGTTAGTGTTTGTTAGAATCTCAATCATGGTTACTTGATATTCTGCTAATAATAGTGCGAATGGTCGATGGGTTTTCAAATGATCCAGAGAGAGGTCTTACTGCTCGTCGAACGCGATTGCTATGACAGCAACTTCCTAACAGCTGTTCCGAGAACGAGAATAAGTTACTGTTGTTTGCATCAATCTGTGTAAACGATTACGAAGCTTACATGTTTATGTCGGCTACCATGTGGTATCATGAAATATAAAGCTCTTGGTGTTGATCAATCCCTGACGGATGCTCCACGCACTCGACTTCATCAGGTATCGTTGGAGGTGATTGAATGCATATCTGACCTTTACAATGACTCGCAGTGGCCTACCGATGTATCGAGCCAGTGCTGCTATCCTCCCAGACAAGTCTGGTACCAATTTGACGGCCCCGGAGGGTTCGAAGGCTTGGTAGGCCATAAGCGTTGGGATCGATTCCACGTGTGTGTCGCAGTGGCGCCTCCAACCACGTCATGAAATATAGGCCGGGTAAACAGGGGTGCATCTATTAGTGGTTGCTTATTTGGTTGCATAACTCGGTTGTGTTAGCTACCTCATGGTCGGCTGCCTACGTCACTTGTCAGAAATTTTGTGGATTCCGTTTGGTATATATCATAACAAAGCTTTTATTTTTAATTTTACCTGTCCGTCTCCATCAATATCGACTTCGGCAATGATTTCGTCAACCTCCTGATCACTGAACTGCTCGCCCATGTGAGTCATGAAGTAGCGGAATTCCTCTGCCGTTATGTACCCGTTTCCATCACGATCGAACACGCGGAATGCTTCCCGGATCATTTCGCTATCATTCTCCTGGAAAGGCAGTGTTGGTTTTGTAGCCTGAGGATAATTGTGCCTAAATTAGAGTGGGTGCATTGACATCGTCTACTAATATTTCCGATCGTTTGTTATTCACTGTGGTCCCTAGCTCGTGCACTTTCCAGTAGGTCTGTAGTTTCTGTTATTCTTCCAATTTTTTCGGTAATATAATTTCTGGCGGAACAATCTATGCCAGGATCGTAGAATGCTTAGAAAAGAGTTGGTACTGTTTATAGTTTCACTAAATATATGATTTGTACGGATAGAAAAAAATTAGCGATAAAAGTGCACTCGTTAAGCAATTAGCTATACTGGATAGATATTCAGTTCGTCTAGATATCTTTGAGCTGGCTTGAAATGTAATTATGCGCATGAGTTTCCACACGCCAAAACAATCTCGAATTTCCTTAGAGTATTCAACCCAACCTTATTCATTCTCTTCATCATTTGGCAAAATTCAGGGAAGTCAATAGTGCCGCTGCCGTCAATGTCCACCTCGTTTACCATATCAAGCAGTTCCTGCTCTGTGGGATTTTGTCCAAGAGACCTCATAGCGACGCCCAGTTCTTTAGAAGAGATGGAGCCGTTTCCGTCCTGAAATTCATTCAACATAACACAACAAGTCGACCATGCTTGCAAATTCCTTAAGTATTTCCACGAGTCCTGAACAGTGACGGAAGAACTTGCCTTAAGTTTTCTTTAATTACTAATAAATGAACTAACACGAGACACTATAGTACGCTGATTTATGTTAGCCGCTATAAAATCACGCGCAAGAGCTGTTTATTGCTTTGTGAATCAATTAACTCCTCGTAACCGTGAGCTAACCTTGTCGAATAGTCGAAATGCTTCCTTGTATTCGATCAATTCTTCTTCGTTGATTCCTTCCAGTCCGGTGGGTACGTCTGTTTGTTTCTGCTGCCATCGATTAAACAGGGAAATACGCCTTGGATCTGACGACATATCGAATTTTCTGCAATCCAGAATAAATTATACTTGATGGGATTCCTTATAGTCATTCCATATTTAAATAGCGAGAGAGGAACGACAAGAAGCAACAAAAAGAAGGTCAAAAACGGTGAGCAAGAATCACAAGTGCTTCAATGAAAAACCACTCTATGGCTCGATTTCCCGTGAAACCTCCATGCCCTCTAAAAACATTTCCTTTAGTTCATGCAGTTACTTTCTCATGGCAACGAGGCAGCATGGCTGTATTTGAAATAACATTTTCATCCTTCTATTTGTCGTTTATTTAGTTACGCTAAGCGTAGGCAGCAAGGAATCGTACTGATTTCTCTAATTGAATTGGAGGTTAACAGACGATATCATTATTCGTCACAAAAAAGGGTTTCAGATCGAGAATAAAATGTCAGCTGGCAATTAAAAAGTGGTTCGTAGGTTGCCTTCCTATAGAAACTACAAATCCTGAAAATGGGGAACAGACGGCGTACTGCGAGGCAACATCTGAGGAAAGACGAGCAGCTTGCACGGGTGCGAACCATGGGACCCGTCTCGCGAAGCACCGCCCCAATGTCGATGAAGCACAACTGGCGCTACTCGTAGAGAAAGTGATTCTTTTGCGCCAATCATGAGAAACATGGATTGATGTGCCCGCCCAGCTCATTTTCATGCAATATGCTGAGTTATTCTAAGCGGAAACGTGTTACATATATATTTTCAAGATGATTGAAATACATTGAAATACTAACGTTCATTAATACGTAGGTTCCATAGTGTGGTGAGTATCGACGCGCAATTTATGCATAGTTTTTCTAGAGTTATTTGGTTCGATTTACTGTAGTCACGATTTCTTGGCGAAGGACGAGACATGTCGGGCTAGCACTTGTTTATGTGGCTTATTTGCCACCTCTACTGGAACGTTTTCATTAGTAGTCTTCTTAAAGAGTAAAGAATACATGGACGCGCACAATATGGTGTCTTTTCACAAACGAGTGAGCACTTGTTCCAGCTCTCATTTAAGTTTAAGTAATCTGGAAAGCATTGGGCTGTGCACCCACATGGCAGCTTTCATATTCACGATCGTACGAGGATGTCTCGTCAAATATCTAATCTGCTGAAATTCAATTCCATCGTAATCGTTTTGCTTTTAGAGTTCGTACATTTTGGCAAGTGATTTAGTTCACTTAGTTTTATATGTTGGTGGTCTGTGTTCATGAATCATGCAATCCTGAACTCATTTTCCATCTGAATGGTTGGTTAGGCTTTTCCACAGATTCCTGTAATAGCTCTACAAGGACGTTTCAAAGACGTCCGTCACCACAAGTTGCTCAACAATGTGTATCGGAAGGAGATTCGCTATCTTATGGTTGGGTTCCTTTCAGATCTCTTAAAGCTGAACTTCCGCATGGAAATGTCGGTCTTTTCGGTTCCAGTCGTTTTCCCATGGAAGTGGACCTTCTGTGAGATTGCAGTTTGACACGCATGAACATTCGTTCTCCACGACGGAGAGATAAACATTCAGAAAAATTATTGAGCCGCCAAAATCCAGAGCACTCCGGAAAAGTGCGTGCTCTACCTAAACATTTTCGTTTTGTTTAGAAGCACCTGGTTTGAAGTGCTGATATATCTTCACTTGGGCAAATAAGTGGTATGTGCGATTGGTATTACTTCATAATTATTATTGACGTTTTAAAAATTAAGCCGTATAGTAGGGTTAGTTACGCTTTGCTACAAATATTTCAAAGACTAGGCGGAAAGACTAAAAGTTCACATCTCCGTCGGGAATTGTGGGAGCTGTCGTATTGACATGTGCATAAATGTCGAAAACAACCTCCCCATGTCTCCAAACACTTGTCATCCACGATTTTAGGCATGCACCCTTTTTTACGAGAAAGAAAAATGAATGCTAGGATTTTCTGGGAAAGCGATCAAAGATTTTAGCTTTGTTGTAACCAGATGGTTTCTTGACGAATTGTGACATTTTCAGTTACAAAGCACTTTGTTCACATTCATCGCTGCTGTTTTCCAGGCCTTTTCGCTAATTTGGTAAGTGTTTTTCAGTACTTAATTGCATTAAAAGAAATGTATTGTTTCTATAATTGATTGTGATGGTGGGTTATTATAAGTTGTAATTTAATTCGAGATGACAAACGTTCACCCGAAATCCCCAGAAGCAACGAGTTTTAGCACGAACAATTATTAGGTCTGAAAAGGTAGGCCCTATCAACAACAACACTAGAAATTCACGTTGAACTAATTAGCTGAGTACTCTTGGCATGACGTAATGCAACTGAGACCATAGGGATGCGAATGGCTCAGTGTAGTTGGCTTCGATGTAATACAATCCAAAACGTAGAGCCCTGTGACGCACAACTGTGCCGTAGATCTGGAGACTAGAAATTGGCTCCGTATCAGTTGGCCATTCACTGGATTAATGAGAATTTTTTACACAATGAAGGAGTCGAAATTTATCTATGCTCTAAATGTATGATGCTTCAGCAAAATAGAAGACTTTGCCACGTAGTCGCTGAAGTCTTCTTTAAAATTTTTTGAAATTCGTTCTTTAGCGTTTTAATTTGACTTGAAAGTATTCGTGTAGTGCATACCCACGTTCGGGCAACTGAAATCACAGCGAAATTTCATTTATTGACGAACGTGGTCTAATAGTTGAAACTGTTCAGATTTATAAAAGATGATTGTCACTCTAAGAGATTTGAAGAATTTGCGACACCTCTATATGGCACAAGGCGAGTGTAGCGCAGTGGTCGGAGGTGCCCTGGAATACATATGGGATCGACCCCGCACCTTAGACTCACCGAGGCTTCCGCCCCTCCAGGGTAGGCATATGGGTACCAGACTTGTTTGGGAGGATAGCAGCACTAACTCGATACATCGGTAGGCCACCCTTGAGTCGTTATAAAGGCCAGATACGCATTCAATCGCTTCCATCGATGCTTAACGAAGTCGTATGCATGGTGCATTCCTCAGGGATCGATCAACACCGAGAGCATTATCCTTTACCCTGTATGGCACAATCCTTAAGTCGCTCTATCTGTCTGACTTGGTTTGTTATTGACTTGGTATTTAGGAGAGCCGTCGTGAACTGGAAATTTAATGTTTTACGTCGATGAAAAATCAATATGTTTTCCCAGAAAACCACTCTCGCAATTTCGACGTAATTGTGGTAGAAAGATTTTTTTCTAGAACATCCTGTTATTGTGCGATTAGGAAGGCGTCGGTAGTCGTTTAAGTAGCAGCGTAATTCGACTATTCTTCACGCGATTGGAATTTGCGGGAATTGTACTTCTGTGCCCACTGCTCTCGAGAATTTCGTGTTGCGGAAGCATAGCATGACGCGAAACTGCTGGGATTCTCAAAACCAAGCACTCTATAATTAATATATGTATCTACCAGAACAATTTGTTAGACGACGGTAGTATTCTAGGTTTTGTTAATTGTTGGATGGTGGGTGCATTGCCGCCCCAGCAACCAAGCCTTTAGCAATCTTTTTTGTGAACGTGTGTATTCTTCAAACGCTTAGTTATTGGCTTTCCTCAATTTTCTATAGGGAAACCCAGATGGTTCGATTATTTATGAAGATGAAGTTATGATTTCAGCCTTATGCTGAACAGAGTTTAAAAGAACTGTGAACTAAACTAGTAATGAAAGCTTTCCGCACTGATGAATCCATGAAGGATGCGCCGTGCATTCGACTTCAGTAAGCATCGTTAGACGTGATTGAATGCGTATCTGGCCTATATATTCCTTTCCAATGGCCTACTGATGTATTACGTCAGTGTTGCTATCTTCGAATACAAGCTTGTTACCAATATGCGGACCCCAAAGGGATGCAGGGTGAGCTCGACACGCGTGGTCGAGCAAACCACCACCTATTTGTTTCAGCGCCCCGCTGACCACTGCGCTACAGGCGCCCAAAATAGTGACATATTTCAAGAAGGTGATTACGTTTCCATTAAGCTAGAGCTTGCAACCTATTCTTAATACTGTGCACTATTTAGGGAAGTGGTCAATATTCTGGCAATCTAAGTAGTAACTGAGTTTTGATGTTTTTAAACATCGGGTTATTCGAGTCATTCATAAATCCCGAAGTTTAATTAAGTATTCACTAAAGTGTAATTATATATTATATATTCATCGAAAATTAGTCAAAATCGTCTTCCCTTTATTGCTGTTGAAGACAAAATTTAAGGTGCAGTAGTTTCTGGCTTCGTGTGGGAGGTGAGACTTATCTTTAAATAGTTCAGTGAGAAAAATGAAAGGTACGGAAATTTTAAATTTGTTCTCGGAAGAACTACGGACGGCCGTTAATTGAGGTGGTTTTTAGCGAAAGTAGTTTTCTTACGTTTTTGAATTCTAAATTCAAAATAGAGCTAATGGCAATTGACTGGATTTTGGTACATGGTTTTATGAACGATGAAAGGGATAGAACTCTCGCCGTTGGTCAATCGCTATGCATTTGTTTCTCATTAAGCATCATTAGAGGTGATTGAAGGCATATCTAAATTAATACGCAGGCTTACGATAACCTACCGATGTATAACGTCACTGCCGTTATCCTCATAGACAAGTTTGGTGCTAATTTTCCGACTGTAGAGGGATGGAAATTTGGTGAGGCCAGAATGCGGGGTTGAACCAACGACCATGTGTTTATCACAGAGCACCACTAGGAATTGCTCTGTACAGACCCCAGTGTATAACCGCAAATTTCCTATTTCATACATTTTTCCTTGATAAAAACTTTTTAGAAGGGAGTGCTGAAAATGCTATCAAATGCTTATTATCCAAAACACTTGACTTTTTCCTCAGCTTCTTATCACTATCTTGGTAGAGTTTGTCTGAATAGCTGTGATAACAACGATTTCGGCAGCATCGTAATTTAATTCAACACGTTTGCGTTGATTGCAAAGCGCGCGAAAATAGTTTGGACTTTCAAATTTATGCAAACATGTCGTAGCTCCCAATGAACTTTATTGCTCTAAATA